TAATAATTACTGACTCTAACATTGATGTGAAACAATGATAAGATTATCTCGTGAACTAATGTATTAATTTTATCTCTACTTTATATATAAAGAGAAATTTGTGGTATTCTTAAAGGCAAAAAAAATTAACATAAATCATATTAAAATTTTGACATATAGGCACCTTCATCAATCCATCAACCCTTCAAAAACTTTTGAATATCTAACGTCTTTCAGTTTTCTTATTCACGAAGCCCTATTAAAAGGTGACATGCGAACATTTCAATTATTTTCACATGAGAATCGCCATCAAATTAAATCTACCCATAATTAACAAATTCTACTTTATGATCAAATATTTGCATTCCTTATCAAATCATAACTATCAATAATTTTTTTTAAAATCTAATAATTATATTTTTTTAATTCTCTTTTTCTTTACATGAAGAATGATTACTGATTTAATATTAGCCTTGCATCTAAAAAAATTATCACATGTCTGTGCTTAATTTTTTAAAGACTAAAATTTACTAAACCTCCAACATTAACCACCAAATTTTTTGGAATTCACTAGACGCATAATAACAATCTCTTTTTTACTTTTTTTTAAGAGAGATTGGTGATTTACCATTAGCCTTACATATCAAAAGATTATCACTGTGCCAAATTCCCTCCGGTTTGAGAGATATCAGCGCTTTCGTCAGTTTTGACCTTCTTTGCAATCTATAGGCAATTTTTTATGCCTACAAAGACTCAGTCAAATAATCTCCAATTCTCATAACCAGTCTTCCCCTCTCGCTAGTTGTACACCACCCAAGGCTAATGCATCTAAGTTTTGGCATGATACAATCACCTCTAGTCAGGCTTTCTTATCTCTAGTTTGATGGAAACTAGACAATGGTCTATCCTCTTGCTTTTACGAAGATAAGTGGACTAGTTATAGCTCTTTGTCCTCCATGTTCCCTCTAGCATTCAACCTAGCCTTATCTAAAAATGTCAGCATCAGATCACAAGGGTTCATGTTAGAAAATCATTAGCATCGGAGGCGTCTCATTCGTAGGCTTATATCCCCTCAGAAGATTCATGAAGTTTCTGAAATGAAATCCCTTCTATCCAGCCTTAATGGACCTAACTGCTATCTTAAGGATAAAGTTTTTTGGCCACATAACTCTTCAGGACAATTCTCTGTCAACTCTTTATATTGTATCTGTAACGCCCCGCCCCGGAATCCGGGAGTCGGTACGCTATTAGATTTGATGGACTGGCCTCACAAACCACCACATGTCTTTTCCGCACGTTTTGTCCTCACTCACACGCTCCCTAGAAAACTTCCCAGTGGGTTACCCATCCTAGAATTTCTCTAGGTCAAGCACGCTTAACTTTGGAGTTTCTAAGAGTTGGGTTCCCGAAAAGAAGATGCATCTTGATGGTATGAGTATTCCAATCAAATCTATCAATACTAATCACATCACCCTCTCAAGGGTTGGGGTATTACAAACTCCCCCACTTAAACTCGCAACGTCCTTGTTGCGCCAAATCATATCATCCAAGACCGTACCATCCGTGTGAGATTCTAGAGGTGGCTCCTACGGCCTCAAGAGGTGGCTCTTGCCCTCTCGACGTAGCACTTTGTGCCGCATAGCACTTAGCTCTCACAATTCCGGTTGGCTTTGCTCTGATACCATTTGTAACGCCCCGCCCCGGAATCCGGGAGTCGGTATGCTATTAGATTTGATGGACTGGCCTCACAAACCACCACATATCTTTTCCGCCCAGTTTCGTGCCCTGTTAGATTTGATGTATTGTTTCATGTGCTCGGGGGTTTTACCTCGATTATCAAATACTAGTTCTGGGTTTTTACCATATATCTGTGCATGATAGATGACTTGAGAGTACCAAATTTAGAATCACATGCCGAGAAGCATGTGAAACTTGTATAAGCATATCTTTTCACATATCTCCTCGATAATTGCTATTTGGTCCAGGTATCGGGCAAGACTGCATTATTTCAGTCCTTGTGATGGACTATAATCCATTAAAGTCCTCGTGTTGGACTATAATCCATTAAAGTCCTTGTGTTGGACTATAATCCATTTCAGTACTCGTGTGGATATTTAGCCACTTGACCATGTGTTAACCATTTGCTAAGCTATGAGTATGACACTTATCTGAATCAGGACATGACACTTATGAAGTTTTAGACCTTTGGCACTTATTTGATTTCGACGGAACACAGTAGTTTATGTTCTGAGATGAGTTACATTTCTCTTCATTATTGTTTCTGTATTAGACTTTGTGTTTGGTACTTAGGGATTTACAATTTGAGATATAATGTATATACATGAGGGTTTCCTTGTATGGATTATTTCGCTCGACGTACCTATGCTCGTGTTGTAAATTTCTAAATACTAAAATCCCTTTTTAGTTAAGGTTTATGAATTTGAGACTTATTATGTATTAACTGTATTTTCTTATACAACGAGCCATATTCCCTTGGGGTTGGTTGTGATGTTACTCGCTAGCGCTTTGACGCTCGTTGTCCCTCCCCCTTTCAGGTAACGAGTCAGGAGCCCGGAGAGTCGCAGGTTGATGGCGATGCATTTTAGCTTCAGCTGTCTAGTTAGTTATATATTTTATTTGGGGCTCCACTTTAGATTTTCTTTTGTGTAGACATTTGAGAGTCTTGTTCTAGAAGTTGTAAAGGCTGTGTGCCTTATTTCCTCTTGTCAGACATTTGTATTTGAGACTTATTGAGTATTCCAGTTATCTATTCAGATATTGGCTATGTATTTCTGTATGTTGGATGATGAGATATTTATGTGATTTCATTTCATCGGTATTTCTTCTGTTATCTTTCACTTGCTTTTGTACCTACACCTGTTGTTGATTCTACTAGATAGATGTTAATTGTGATGGTGAAACATGTTATTGCACGGTGTGGTGCATGGCAGGTTTGACATTCTTGGTTTCACCTTGGACTGCAGCCTTGTGTGAACCCAGTGGCGTCACAGTATCCTATCTTCTAGTGGTATCAAAAGTGATGCATACAACCCCATTTGGAAAAAAAATTTCTCCCCATCAAGGATAAGATTTCTCTTGCCTGCTCCACAAGCACAAACTTCACACTAAGCACAACCTAGCTCTCAAAGGTTGGTCAGGGGACACAGCTTGTTCTCTCTGTAAAACTGCAATGCAAACGTATTCACATATGTTCTGGGAATGTCCAATTGCCAAAGAAGCTTGGAAACCTCTACTGCAAAGGTTATGGTTGAATATCAGCAACCGAGACTTTGACTATATCCTTCACTCTCATGGTTCCTTCGTCCCTAACACACAACATCGTCAGCCGTGGCTTTCTCTCCTCCATATCTTCTGTTGGTGCCTTTGGAGAGCTCGAAACGACCTGAGTCTATACAGACACTGATTTCTTCTCAGCAGTTAACGACTAATGCTTATTTCTTCATAATGTTCTGGTCAGGTAATTCATCAAGGAAATAGCAGGGCAGACTCACGCGACAGCCAGCAATCTGGGACTGCAGGACCTGCATGGATCCGTCTCGGACATGGTGGGAGATAACTTCTGAAGTGCGCTCAGCCTAATGGGTTTATTTTGATTGTACATAATCTTTACTGCCGAAACTTGCTTTCCCAGATGAACTGTGTTATGTTAGTAGGCGGAGACAGAGGCGATCGCGCCTGCTCTCGGCTTTTGTAATTAATTCTGATTAGTAGTTTGGGTTAGGACGATTGACTCGCTCTCGACTCAAGTTTCGAATGACGTCAAAGGACCGCTCTTTGCTCTTGGCGTGAGTGGGCACTCTTCCTAACTCATGGCTTTGTACAAAAAGTTCTCATATATGATATATGTATATATACATCTTCTGAATAGGGCATTTAGCCCTATTTTCGCGTCAAAATATATATATGTGTGCGCGAGCACGTGCTAGCGTGAGAGAGAGAGAGAGAGAGAGAGCTAGTGTGTGTGTGTGAGAGAAAGACGGCGAGATATTGTGAAGCATACAAGGACAAGTTAGACGTTCAAACTGTCTCCGTTTCTTGACTTTGGTCTAGTAAGGTAAGGACCACTTTTTTGGCTGAAGAGCATGAGGCTTTATTTCGCAAAACGTGACGCATGATAAGAGGCAACAGGGCTCAGATTTAATTTCCTTCGAAGTTATCTCTCCAACTAGAATTGGGTGCGCCCGGGGCATGGGCCACTTAAGTGCAAACGTGTCGCTGAAGAAGCACGTGGTTTGCTTGCTCCGACCAGGCGCGCGCTTGTGTCGGCCTCGTGGAAAACGCACGCTAAAGACACGTGCTTCATTCACTGGCTCCATTTTATTCTGGATATAAGTAGGGGGGTTTTTTTTTTTCTTTTTCACAAAACCACCTATAAAACAGGAGGAAAATACAAGAAGCAATTTTCAAGTTTAGCTTGTATATAAATCATCTTTCAAGCGTGTTCCCTTTGCGATCAACCAACCTGATCTTATTTTCTGGTTAAATTTTAATTAATATCTCCAAAATATCCTGGAAAACGACACCGAAAAGTATGTAAATTTGGTTAATAATACATATCGCGTGCCTAGCGCATGTATTCTTAAGGATATTTTTGAGATTTCAATTGAAATTTCATTAAAAAAAATAGGTCAAGGTGGCTAACTGCAACCTCTTTAAAGCCGGTTTATGTATGACTTGAACTTTAAATATGGTTTTCGTATTTTTCTCTTAAGAGACCAAATCATAGACAAATGCTCTGGTAAAATTAAATAACAATAATTCCCATATAGTTAGAGGTAATGTTGCACTGCAAAAAGTGAAAAATAACTAAGCAGTAATAAGTACCCAATGGACAATTTTGCCCTTTACAAAATTGTTATCCCAGTAGACCCCCTGTTTGTTACACGCACCAACAAGCCCGTGATGAAATATTAGATGTGAGAAAATTTTTTGAACGATTTTTTTTAGGTTGGATCCATCATGGTAAGTAACTGTTACAAGAACAAGTACAAAGATGCACATAAAACAAACTCTAGGAACACTTGCTTTTTCCAAGAGCAAATAAATAATCAGTCTTTATACTACATCATCCTTTGATTAAAAAAAAGGAGGGAAAAGAAAAACCCAATTCTCCCTCACTCATTCTCCACCTCTTCCTTCATCACTCGTCGTTCTCCCTTTCCTTATCCACTAAAAATTCGACGAGCTCTTAGCTGCGTCGATGTCAATAATTTAGCACTCTACAGCTTATTAGCTCTACAAAAACACAATTAGAAAATTCTACGACTTGTTCTCTGAAGTAAGAGCGATGCCCTCTTCGGGATCAGATGGTACTACTGGCTTCTGTTCTTTAGCTTTCAACAGGGTTTTGGCGTAAAGAGTGCCAAATACAATGGCCTGTCAAATAAATTAGCTTTAGTACAGAATTCTCATAGCATCAAGTATCAAACATTAATATATATAAATAAAAAAAATAAAAAACTAGGGAACTCTTACAGCTCCAACATATTGTTCCCAGCTAAGGGGATGACCAAACCACACACATGATAGCAAGATGCTCAGCAACTGAACCAAAATTTAATGAGCTCGGTGAACTTGTCTATTGGAGCAGGGAGAATACGAACTTTACATGTATCAGATCAATAAGAACTTTACCTGTCTCGTTGTCATTATGGTGGCAAATGTTAAAGCTCCAAAAGTTCGGATTGTGTAGGAGATGAAGAACTGACTAGCGGTTGCTACCTAGATAGTCAAGATATGAAATTTTGGTCAGTGACGTACTCGCTTGTTTCCTTTTTGCTTCTTTATGATAAATGTAAATTTGCAAGAAAGTTTAAGAAAAGGAAGTTACACAAAGGGGGCGTTTGGTTGCTTGCAATTGTAGTTGCAATGCAAGTGTCACCTACATGCAACTGAAACTTTGCAACTCTTCTTGCAGGTAACTATAGTTGCAATTGTTTAGTGCAAAATTTAAATTTTGCAACTTATAGTTGCAGTTGTTTGATTTTGCTTGTGACTTTACCTATGTAACTTGTTTTTAACTATTAAAATATTGTTAAAGTTATTAATTCCTTTTACACTTTAAAATATTTATTTTTTAAAAATAATGGTTTTTATTATGAAGTAAATTGACTTTTAAAATTTTCTTAAAAAGGTTTTTTGATAAGATTATATTTTTAAAAATTATATTTTATTAAAAACTTATTTTCATAAAACAAGATATTTTTCTAATAATATTTTTAGGTTACAATATATTTTTGCAAATGAATTTCAATAAAAAGTAAATCTTTTTCATAAACTTTTTTGAAATTGAATTTTTTTTGAAAATATTATTTTAACAACGTATAATAGGATTCAAAGAAAAAACTAATTTTAGAAAGTAATTTTTTAAAAATATTACTTTTCTTAAAAATAACACTTCTTTAATTTATTTTTACCAAAATATAATATATATATTTTTTAAATGCTTTTTTCAAACAATCCCAAAAAAATAATATTTCTTCAAGAAGAAGTTTTTTTCCAAAATATATTATTTTATCAGAAAATAACATTTTTATTAAAATATTTTTTATCAAAAAATAATATTTAAAAAAAACTATGTTATAAGAAACTAATATTTTTCAAAAGAATAATATTTTTATTTTTTCCAAAATAATTATGTTTTTATATAATAATATTTTTCATTGTTTTTAAAAAATAATCATCTTATAAAATATCTTTTAAAATATTACTTTTAGAAAAAAATTCAGGAATATAATATTAAAATAACTTTATTTCTTTAAAAAATGTTTTCCAAAATATTATAATAATAATTCTTTTAAAAATTATTTTTAATCTTTAATAAAGTTCTTATATTTTTTGAAATATTAAGTAATGATTTTGATTTTTGATAAATTTGTGTCATGTAACTAAGCTGCGACTGTGACTTGTAACCATTTTGAACGTAAGTCATATGTTGCAACTAAGGATTTTTGCAACTATGATTACAATTGTAACATTGAATTGCAACAAAACAAACACTTGCAACTGCACAAAATTGACCCAATGGCAACCACTCCAGTTACAAGCTACCAACGCCCCCAAAATATGAAAGATTGAAAAGAGTGCTTACGCTGGATAGTAAAATAACATCATAGAAGCAGTCTAGCAAACGCCCCCAAAATATGGAAGATTAAAAAGAGTGCTTACACTGGATAGTAAAATAACATCATAGAAGCAGTCGTGATGGCGAAACATGAATTCTATTGCTGAAACAAGATGACCCTGCAGAACAAGTCCTACATCCATAGAAATTTAGAAGAGAAAGAAGTGTCAAATAACATCAAATCATCAAAGAACAAATTCATATATTGTACAGAAAGATGTTACATGGATGATGCAAGTGCACAACATGACATCAAATCATCAAAGAACAAATTCATATATTGTACAGAAAGATGTTTGATCCCTACATGGATGATGCAAGTGCACAACTCTTTAATTGCAAACTTTAAACAAAAATCAAAAAGTGAGAAGTTACAGTAAAAATGATCACTGGACAATATAAAGTCAGTCATGAAGAAACAACTGGCAATCTCGGGATATATTTGTAACCAGTCTCAAGTATTTTCCTGGTTGGGAATACATTTTAACAACAATTACAAAATACCCAAAAAAAAATAACAGTCGCAGTGACACTCTTTTAAGATGTTGCTTCAGTAAATCAAATTATCAGATAAAAAGGTCCTTGTTAAAATTGATACTTCAAAGAAGTTGCAATATATCTTGGTTAAGCCAATCAAGGTGATTACTTTTTTCTATTGGTTTTCTTCCACTGAGATATAGTTAAGTGATTGGAGGTGATGTTTGAGTACGGTAGTAGAACTAATGACCATATACTCGTGTCATATAGTAAAATCTCTTAATTGCAGTAGTTATCCAAACAAGGTGATCTTTTCAAGTAACTTGCAGTTATATTTGAGGGGTACATGCTCATACTAAAAGCAACAGGGAAAGCTGATAATTTAAGAGCATGTTAAGTGAAACTTACCACTCAAACTGAGAACGCATGAACACATTGTTGTGTAAAATATTTGATTATGGATTTCCATATCATAACCCTTAAAAAGTTTGTCCTGGAAAGTGCTTGTAAAACCATCAAACCTGGGAAATACACTAGTTAGCACAAGCGAACAGACAAAGGGCAATAGAATAATTTTCTCATAGTAAAACCAAAATGATCCATCAAGCACTAAAAATATGGAATTACAGATAATAACTGTTTCACACTAAAATGAGAAACCAGACCTATGAAAAACTAATTTATGTAGTGCACAACAATAGATCTCAGGAGAACAGTTCCTCCTATCTACTATAGGATCTGTTTATAAATGCAGAACCATTGCTAACAGTGTAAATATCGCAATCGTAAATCTCAACAGCTATGGGCCCTCTCTAAAAGCGAATATAAAGTCAAAACAAATATGCAGGTTTCCCATAACAAAAGACGGGTAACTTTCACAAAATGCCTTCTAAACTACAGGATGTTTTGCACAGCCCCCTAAACTTCATAAATTGGACAAACCCTCACCTGAACTTGTCTCATTTAAGAACGTGGATGACAGCTGTTAGTTTAAGCTATCAGCACGTCACATGGATTGGACAATTTTGCCCTAATGCGTTTTCTTATTTTGCTGAAAAAGAATTTTTTTGGGTCAGGGTAGGTAGATAAAAGAGGGTAGCTATGATTTTTTACTCTTTATGTTAACGTCATTGAGAAGTTCCGATAATTCAGGGATTTTGTACAATTTTAAAAGTTTAGGTGGTTTCTTTTTATTTAGAAAGTGAGTTTTTTTGGCAATTTGCCCATAAACTAATAATGCAGAGACTCACAACAGAAATAACGATAGATTTGACCATAATTCCAAATTGCATATCCTATCACAGATGCTAATATTGTTGGATAATCTTCGATATAAAGCTAATCATCATCAAAATATACGATCAGAAAATAGAAACATTCTAGAAAGTTGAGGAGAAAGAGCCACAAGCAATGGAAATACCCAAGATAACCGATCATGAGGGAGACACCCAAAAAAGTGCTTTCTCTTCCTGTATGGTGTGGGCTAATATCTGATGCCTGCAATTGAACAAAATGATTAAGCCATTTCTTAGGGCAAGCATATTGCTTAACTTAATGCAAGTATATTTTTAAGAAGGCATGTACCAAACAAGATTTTTAAGTGATACTCCTTTATTCGTGTAGTACATTCTTCTTTTCCTATTCAATGAATATATTAATATGTAACATGCAAAAAAAAGTAATATCAAATATGCATGTTGGGTTCATTACTTGGTTAACATCATCAGACAAGTGGAAAATCATACCTTCGATGTTGTCATTATCAATTAAATCAATTAAAGTCCAACTGGTACAGAACGTGAGATATCCATAGCCTTAGGTAGGAAATATAAACCGCAAATGCCAAATTCTATATGTCTCATAACTTATAAGATACTGCAGACGAATGGACTGTAAATCATGGTCTGTATAAAACTGGTCCTAACCAAAACTTCTTTTCATCCTAACTCAAACTTTTCCAGGCTTTTCTTTCCTTATCCCACTTTGACCAATCCACCTTACCCTCCCTTCCTCTCAAAGAAAGCTGCAAGGTAAAGCCAAATCAAAAGAGATACCATCGCATTCAAAGAAGATAGCCCTTTCATTACAGAGCGTTATTAATAGTTGTGCATACAATACTTCCTGCGTATCTGACATTTCAAACTTGTTCGAACCATACACATATATCAATTAAGGATAATCTGGTCATGTTTGTTTTCGTCAAAAGTTGGTTTTGACATGGAATTCATTATATCTTCGGTCGATTACAATAAATTCAAAAAAGAGATAGCCTTTTTATAAGACTTCTTTTACACAACAAAATAAAAATTACAACTCTTGAGAAACAAACGCAGGATCGTTGTTTGGATCGCTGCTTGCGTGGGATCTTTGCCTGTGCCGGGGGTGCGTTAGCCCGTGGACCACCAAATCACAGATTCTGATTGAATCGTGAGGGGTTTATGATTTTTCCTTCATTTATCGAAGTGAGAATTTGAAACGATATCTTATCAAAGTAAGATAGTCGTTCTTCTTAAGATTAAGTCAAAGCTTAAATCTCAAGGAATTGCCAGAAGCTCGGGTACTCTGCCCTCTCTGCTCCGAAATCAGACTGTGGATGCTCTCTGATCAGCCTCTCTCAAAAAATCGATTTCAGGGGGTATTTATAGCCTCCAGGATGAACAGTACTTCCGAGACAGTGTTTACTGTCTTGGCGGCCGAGACAGTAAAGCCTGGGCGAGACAGTAAAAGTCTGTCTCGCCGGGCGAGACAGTAAAGACTGTCTCGCCAGGTGAGACAGTAAAGACTGTCTCGCCTGTGAGACAGTCTATACTTGTGTTCTTTTGCCTTTTTGGATGATTTCCTCTTAAGCTGTATTTGGATATCTTTCAGTATTTTTTTGACGCCTACAGATACCCCCTCCAAAGTGTTCCAGACGTATTATTTTATAGAGGAGTCTGGGGCACTTTGGATAAGACAGGCCTTATTTGCAATCCCTTTAAGGCTTGATTGAGTAGATCATACGGAAGGACTCATAAATGGCTTCAACTCTTGACTTCGTCATCTTTTAGCCTATTCAGTGCTTTGTAGAATAACTAAAATTCCTCCGGTGCTGCGTTTATCGCGTGACCGTCGTCGAAGTCTTGAATTAGAACTGCTATTGAAGAATGTAGAGATAATTTATACTCATATACTTTATTGGAGTGTTCGGGAAATAGTTTAACCTCATATACCCGTTGGGAGGTAATCAGGTTATTCTTAAGAATATTCTGAGTAATATTCTCCAGAAACTTCCTGTTGATGGTAGGGAAACAGTTTAGACTCGTGTACCTATTGGAGTAATATGGTCTCTTTTTTGTTGGTAGAGCTCCTGGTCTCTTGTTTGTTGGTAGAGATGAACCAGGAATTGGAAAGGAAGAATTTTATATTCTATCTCCTGGTCTCTTGTTTGTTGGTAGAGATAAACCCGGAATCGGAGAGGAAGAATTTTATATCCTATCTCCTGGTCTCTTGTTTGTTGGTAGAGATAAACCAGGAATCGGAGAGGAAGAATTTTATATCCTATCTCCTGATCTCTTGTTTGTTGGTAGAGATGAACGCGATGATGGAGAGGAAGAATTTTATATTCTATCTATTGGTCTCTTTTTTGTTGGTAGAGATGAACCCGAAATTGGAGAGGAAGAATTTTATATTCTATCTCCTGGTGTAAAGGAAACTCGAAGTGGGATCTCCACTTAGAGAATCTGGATTGGTTTGAATAATCCTAACTGTCATAAGGTTTGACTATTCAATTCAAAAGTTGACCTTTCGCTCGCAAAATGAATCGAAAGGGTATTTTGGTTATGGCCCTAACTGTAGTAAGGTTTGACCAAGTGGGAGTTTTGAGACGATCCTAACTGTAAGAAGGTTTGATCGCTCGATTTGTGGACCACTCGTTCATGCAACGAATCGAGAGGGGATTTTGGCTTTGGTCCTAACTATTTAAAAGGTTTGACCAAGATGGGGATTTGAGACGATCTTAATTGTTTAAAGGTTTGATCGTTCAATTTGTGGACCTCTCGTTCATGGAACGAATCGAGAGGGGGTTTTGGCTTTGATCCTAACTGTTTAATGGTTTGACCAAGATGGGGATTTGAGACGATCCTAACTGTTTAAATGTTTGATCGTTCAATTTGTGGACCTCTCGTTCATGGAACGAATCGAGAGAGGATTTTGGCTTTAGTCCTAACTGTTTAAAGGTTTGACCAAGATGAGAATTTGAAACGATCCTAACTGTTTAAAGGTTTGATCGTTCAATTTGTGGACCTCTCATTCATGAAACGAATCGAGAGGGGATTTTGGCTTTGGTCCTAACTGTTTAAAGGTTTGACCAAGATGGGAATTTGAGACGATCCTAACTGTTTAAAGGTTTGATCGCTCAATTTGTAGACCTCTGGTTCATGGAACGAATCGAGAGGGAATTTTGGCTTTGGTCCTAACTGTTTAAAGGTTTGACCAAAGGAGGAATTTGAGACGATCCTAACTGTTTAAAGGTTTGATCGTTCAATTTGTGGACCTCTCGTTCATGGAACGAATCGAGAGGGGATTTTGGCTTTGGTCCTAACTGTTTAAAGGTTTGACCAAGATGGGAATTTGAGACGATCCTAACTGTTTAAAGGTTTGATCGTTCAATTTGTGGACCTCTCGTTCATGGAACGAATCGAGAGGGGATTTTGGCTTTGGTCCTAACTTTCCCGTGAAAGAAAGAAAATAATTTAGACTCATATACCTGTTGGAGTATTAAGGAGCAGTTTATACTCGTATAATTTTCGGTGTGGGGAAACAGTTTATACTCGTGTACCCAATGGAGTTGTATGGTCGTCTTTACTCGATATCTTTCGTCGTTATGACGCCGGAGTCAATTAGGGCTTGGATCTTATTTTTGAGTCCAAAGCAAATCTCGGTGGGATGAAGAATCCTTCTGTGGTACGCACAGTAGTTTGGATCCGTAATCCTCTTAGCTCCATCCTGATCTTTAATAGGTGGTAGCTCGATTTTGTCATTAGCGAGGAGGTATTCTAATATGGCTGGAGATTATTATGGCATGTTTGCAGGATGAACTCCTCTGTAATAGGATCTCTGCAATTCATTGCTTTGTTACGGAAACGTTTGACAAAATTGTCAACTGACTCTCCGTCTTTTTGCTTCTCATCTAAAAGGGTTCCGACTGACACTTCGGTATCATCATCGAAGAAGTTGCTGAGGAACAAACTTTCCATGTCATCCCAGCAATTGATGCTCCCTGGCTTGAGCCGTCGGTACCAATCGAAGGTGGGCCCACGAAGGATGCCAACGAATGACCGAACCATTAAAGCCTCGTTTCCAGAAATCATGCCTAAATGAGACTTAAAATAAATCAAGTGTTGAATAGGCGAGCTCTTCCCCTCAAACGGTGTGAAGTTAACTAGATTGAATTTAGCCGGGTATGGTATTGAATCCCATTCTCTTGGATAGGGACACGGAATACCTGTTTTTTTCCCTTCTTGAGCCGTCATCAAAGCGTTGATTTTGTTTTCAAGCTCTTTCATTTTCTCGTCCTCGTCTATGTCTTCATTCGAAGGACGTTGAGGAGAATGAATTAGACCACTCCCTGTGAGAGGTGCTATTGAACCACCCCTAATATCGTTATTTGGAGGATCCGTTAAACCACCCCCAGCGTTATTGCTATTAAGAGGTGTATCAGCCATAATGACTTCATCCACCTCTGGATCACTGTCATTTGTAACATTCTGAATGTGGCGGCTGGATTCAACTCTCTGACTGGACTCAGGGGGTTGAGGCCGTTGAGCTAGCAATTCTCTCATTTGTTGGATAGCTAACTCCATCTTTGTCTTCATCTCAGCTCTAATTTCTGATTGTGAGTACTTCTCTGGTTTGCCCTATGCTAGATGATGTATCATCCGAAGCGATCGCAGAACAAGTGTCCGAGAGCTCATCCTCTGATGACATCCCTTCATGCATTCTCCTGATAGCTCCTAGCTGGAGTCGAGACTTCCGTCGGGCAATTCTTGAATTGACTTTTCCTCCCGGGAAAAAATCGGGGCTTGATTCACTTGAAGGCCACTTAGATTTTCCTTTATCAACCATGTTGATGATGACTTCAGGGAATTCATCCCCTTGAATAGTGAGCTTCTTGTTGAAACGTCTCGGTTTGGGCTTTGACATTTCAGTAGAAAGTCTCTGGAACACAGAAACTTTCGGCGGAATGGCTTTAAAGCAGTTGCATTTAGGCAACACTGTTTTGATAAGTTTTTCACATACATAATGACGATTCGTTTCTTGAACAGTCCTTTTATGTGATTTGTTTCCACCTTTAGTTTGATAGTACAACTCGTCAGCATGGTGACCAGAGCAACCTATCTTCTGTTTTCGTGTTTGAACCTTGTTAACATACCCAGGATGGCTTATCGTCGCCTCTGAGCGATCCAAGGTTATGTCAAGAGTCACACGTTTAGAACCACCCCCTTGCGGGTGTGGAGTCTTAACGGGCGCCGAATGCTGATTTTGCACAACTCCAGACTTTGGAATCCAAACTTGGTAGAGTTTCGGTGGTTCTTTGGCCACTGTTTTCTTGTTCCTTTCTCGTCTTTTTTGTAATAGAGCACGGGCATGAGCAGCGTTTGCGCGACGTTTTTGTATACGTTCTTTGAGGGTTGAACGAGCCCTTTTGACTGTAGTCCATTCCTCCGTCGCTAATTTAGCAGAGATATGAGTGATTGGTCGTTGAGACAACTGAACCACTCGATGCCTCCTCGACTCTAAGTCCGCATGATAACGAACTCCGTCGGGTTGTTCCAAGGCCTTAGCTTTGACGAGCCCTCTTTGTCAGTGGCGAATTTCGATCGAATGACTCCTTAATTGGGGAGGTATGCTGTTGAGCAGAGCTGTTGCGAGTAAAATCTTCAGCAACAATCGGGCCAGAGTCTTCATCCGTAGAATTTGATAACTTCAACGAAGATGAAATCTTCCTGCATTTGCGAGGCGAGGAAGACTTTACAAATGAGGACGACAAATACTCCTCAAACTTTGCTTGGTGGAACTCGTACTCGACCATTGATTCAACCAGGATCTTAATGATTGGCTGCGACACGACGGTCTCGGCAGCGAGACCGTTGGCTCCCACTGTGATCGCCAGTTTGTTTTCGTCAAAAGTTGGTTTTGTCATGGAATTCATTATATCTTCGGTCGATTACAATAAATTCAAAAAAGAGATAGCATTTTTATAAGACTTTTTTTACACAACAAAATGAAAATTACAACTCTTGAGAAACAAACGCAGGATTATTGTTTGGATCGCTGCTTGCGTGGGATCTTTTCCTGTGCCGGGGGTGCGTTAGCCTGTGGACCACCAAATCACAGATTCTGATTGAATCGTGAGGGGTTTATGATTCTTCCTTCGTTTATCGAAGTGAGAATTTGAAACGATATCTTATCAAAGTAAGATAGTCGTTCTTCTTAAGATTAAGTCAAAGTTTAAATCTCAAGGAATTGCCAGAAGTTCGGGTACTCTGCCCTCTCTGCTCCGAAATCAGACTGTGGATGCTCTCTGATCAGCCTCTCTCAAAAAATCGATCTCAGGGGGTATTTATAGCCTCCAGGATGAACAGTACTTTCGATACAGTTTGTTGTAACTGCCTTCCCACGTTTTCAAACTCCGTTATTTTGGCAGTTGTCAACGTGATTCTCGCCCACGACGTTTCCCATGTTCTTTGGCAGTTAATGGCCACGTGTCGGCGGTTTATAAAACAGTTTCTGAGCCTTTGAGAACTGTCTCGCACGGAGAGACAGTAAAGACTGTCTCGCGCGGAGAGACAGTAAACACTGTCTCGCACGGAGAGACAGTAAAGACTGTCTTTTTTTCTTTGATTTTTCGATGATCTCCTCTTGAGCTGTATTTGGATATCTATTAGCATTTTTTGACGCCTACAATGTTCATGCTAACTCAATTTCTCCAATTTCATGTACCAAAATCCGAAAGATTTTTAAGGAGATACTTTTTGTTTTTTTTTTCAAATTCACGGATTGTATTGCCACTTTACAGATCTGGCCAATGAAAATAGAGGAAGTTGTCATGATCCAGAGCTCATCACGTCAACGGTTGATATATGAGTTCTCTTTTAACTTAATTACTCAAACTATCTGCTAGATTTTGTTTCACAATTTAATAATAAAGCGTGTTTAACGAACAAACAACTTGCTTTCTTAATTCTTCTATTGACTGAGAAATAAGATATATGATCCTAGGCACATGTTTGTGCTGTGAACAGACAAACTCATAGCAAGACACGTCACAGAATGAAGAAAAGTGAGCAATTAAGAAGTTAAGACAAGTATGCAGCTATTCACGTTAAAAACAGAAAATTGGACAAAGAAGATTTAAGAATGGTCATTACCGGATATAATATGAAGAATGAACAACCTAATGTCACTAGTAAAGCAAATAGATAGTCTTTCCCATTGTATTTCTTTTGCATTATAACTGTACCCCAAATCTGCAACAGCAACAAGAAACTGCATCAAAAATGTTAGCTGTTGTAGTTCATATAGTAATTCATACATAGAGAAAAGGAAATTTTACAAAAAGAGCAAATCACTTTGCTTATTAAACAAAGAAGAATCGGATTCTTTAAAACTTAAGTGAAAGTATGAAGTATTGATTTACAAGGATTATGACACCAGCAAGTCTACAGTGTTGAAAGTTAGAATTACTTTGTATTCGCTGTTGGTTATTTGTACGACAATGGGGATGCAGTTGGAGACAAGATACTAATTTCATGAAGAACCAGAGGTCCACAGTTGACATACAGGAGAGCAAGAAGCTGGGAGCAAATGCCAAGAATAGATTCATAGAATACATAATATCTTACATAAATATATTTATGTAAGATATACAGGTAAATAAAAAGAAAAGACTCGTTAAAAGCATATCTTCGTGTATAATTAATGTAGTGAATATGTCATGACGCATACTTATTCACATTATAAAAGACGTGCAAGATATTAACTTACTCAGCATATAACATCTAAAAGAGAGACTTACCATCACAGGTATCATTTTTGCACATTTTGCAAGTGTCTGTACTGGAAAGCTAACATATTTCAGGGCCTGAAAAACACCAACTATGTCACTTAATGGCTTCTTGGTCCACAGATGATATAACATAACAACCTCTGGAAAAAAATTTCAATTCTTTAACTAGGAAAAAGATTATCAAGTCACACCAAAATGTGCAATTACCTCATATTGGCATGTAGTCGTAAGTATGTTAGATATTGATATAGCACAATACTTATAAATTGGAGCCACTGGATCCAAAGCCTTCTTACTAGCCTGTTAGAGGATGTCAGCAATCAGCAATGTTCAATTTTTATAAGTAATGGTGAAGAAATTGGAACATAACTAGTTTACCAGTAAGGAGCCCGCAGATACTGCAGAAGTTGCTATGCGATTACAGAAAACAAGAAATAATGAATATCTAAAGTATTCTTTATTTTTCCCATACGGAACTCTCATAATCTTTTCCTGCATGAAAAAAAGAAACTGAATTGGTTCCATGTTTCCACTGAGCTTTGTAACCAACCAAATTATACTCCATAACCATTGAGTTCGAAAAGAGAACAGCAGCTTACTGCAGAACTTTACTAGAGATTACTGGCAAGGTGGGTGAAACTATATAAACATAAATAATAGGCAATAACAGATATTAAACAGAACTCTAGCAAAACAAGTGGAAGTGTATAAATAGCACACTTAACAGAAAGGTAGTTAAGAAGTTAGCGAAACGGACAATAAAGCTTGAGGGCATAAGGAAAACTACAGAAGCAGAGAAGGGGATAAGAAAGGCAAGGCATTTTAAAGAGATCACCGGCTAAGATCAGAAGTAGAGGGCAGGGACAAAATTTTGTGATTTGTACTTACCACGCTTCTATTCATCTCATTTAAATCTTAGGCCTAGATAAGTAAATAGTTTTTTTTTATTTTCATCACATGAACCGCCAAGTCAAAGTCCTGCTCAAGCTGAACAGGCATAGAACCATCACAAACTAAAGCACAAATCCTACTGACACGTCAGAAATGGGGGGGGGGGGGGATGCAATATATAAGTTTTTACTCCAATATTTAGCCTTTGCTCCCAAACTACCACCTCTATTGTCAAGGTTACTAACCCTCCTAGAAACTGAAATTTGTACAAAGGGTTATTCTTATTATTATTATTTTTCTTTTAAAAACACTCTCAGGCCAAGCATTAGTAGAACAAAAATAACTCCACTTTCTTCCAAGTCTTCAGACTAGTGTTTACAGTGTACAATCAAAGTTCAGTCTCATGCCTTACATGCATCAGGCACACTAAAACTAATCAAAAACTTTGATTGAGCTCGGGACATCAAAGAATTAATTTTTTATAAAAAAGAAAAACGAATGCTTTTGATCAATCATTATCGACTGCAACAGAACACTTAGCGTCAAGATTTATTCTTTCCACTCCCGGGGACTTCAGGGCTCAACGTTTCGCAATTTAACACAAAATCCCAGCCTGAGCTACCTAAATATCAATCGGTCACTTGCATGTATAAAAACACCATTCATATACGGAAATCACAACCAAATGAATAACAAATAATCAATAGCTGAAGACAATTTAAACAAACGATCACTTGCCTGAAGAACGCCGTAGATGACGAGGGTCGACATGATTCCGGCCACCGCAAACGCGAACCTCCAAGCCCTGCTCTCCTTCACCGGGGCGGGCACGGGTTCCGCCATCGCTCCGCATCCACAGCTCCAATTCGCCCGGGATTTCTCTCCCTTGATGATTTTTCAGTGAAAACCTACAAAATTAGGGCAACAGAGAATTTGGGATCGAGAGAGAGAGAGAGAGAGAGAGAGATTTTGGGGGTAAAAATAGAGACGAGGGTTTTAAGGATTCGGTGAATTGGGCGGCGGAGGGAATTATGCGCCAGCGAGATGGGAGGGGTATGAAACTATTAAAATGGATCCGGACGTTGAAGTTTAAATAATTACAAGCGGACAAAAAAATTACTTGTTAAATTCTAAAAGTATTTTTTTCTTTTGTATAGTTAATTAAAGCTTTATATTTGTTAAATACAAGTGGAGAATAAAAGACTATTTCCCTGTTTGCATCCCAATTTCTGATGATTATAAAATTATCATATAAATTTTGTACACTTTAATTAGTTCTCAACTTGGGTATAAATTATTTAGATTCCTAACTTTTTTTTAAAGAATTAATAAAAGTACAATAATACTTTTCGAATTTTTTATTAACGTTGCTACGGTTTGAAAATAACTAATGTATTCGTAAAGTTTGTAAGTATATATTTTTTTGCTTTTGCTTTTGTACCTTCACTTTCAAAATTTTCCACTTTCTCTTTGTTTTATTTTTTTTAACCTCCCCTTTAGAGGATCCAAATTGAACCCTAGATAAAAATCAGATGTCATCACGTAGAAAGAAACTATCATTGTCTCTTTGTATTCAAACTTCTTGATACTTGAGAATATACAGGATCCTTAAACGATGAGGAACTTCAAAGATTCTTAAAAATGAATAATAAAAGAGAGTATTCTATGTTTTCTAAAACTCAAAGGAGAAAACAGGATAATGTAGAAAAAATGAAGAATAGCATGATACTTTTTTTGGCAATACTTTTGTATTTATTTTGCAAGAGTTTCGCACAAGTAAAAATATAATAATCAGTTTGACTATAAAATTAGATAATAATTTAACAAATATAATGGAAGATAATTTCAAATAATAAATAAAATCTGAATAAAATACTTGGTGCGCCCGCCGGGCTGACCACGCATATCTGAATCCAATACCTCGGTCAGCGTAAAATAGCTCACCCCGTGATTACCGTCTTAACGTGCACTGAAATTTTTTTATTTTTTATTTTTTGGCTCAAATAACATTAGGAAAAAAAACCAAAATAAAATGAAAAACCTGGCATGAGACTCCCTGTTATAATTGCATGGCCATCACCTAACGTTCAGTGTTTATCGTTTGTTGTGATCATGACATGATCATTGAAAGCTGGTAGCTAGCGATGCGTGTAACAAAATAATATATATGGTTGAGTGCTAATTAATATTCATTTATGAGGATATATTCTTCTTTTCTTTAAAAAAGCTGGTTTTTCTATTTAAGACTTTCTTTAGGAGTAGCTTATTTTGTTATGAAAGTCATCCTATTCTCTCATTTGGAACTAAATATAAAATATCATACGGGGGTTTTGCGCAGAAAATTGAAAAAATAAAAAGTTTTTTACGTGTCCTAACATCAATTATGAAGTTGTTAATTGCATAGAACAATAACTCAGTTTAATTTTGGGTTTCTATTTGTACTGTTTTTAACTATTTGTATCTTGATTTTTTTTTTTTGTATTCTGTATATTGTTTAAACTCCTTTAAAATTGATAATGAGATGCATGTAGTGTTCTTCCTTCGATATGATTTTGTCTATAAGATTTTTCTTGGCTCTTGCCTTTTGTCGTTGGTTAAATGGTGGAAGGCATAAATGCAATTAAATTACAGATCTAGTAATGGAAGTGGCGTTGGGGTCCCCAGAAGTTTGATGTTTGGTTTTCCTATCTGTTATTTATGAAGATTAAGATGCTTGCATGCATATTAAGAAAATATCAATTACTAGCCATGCGTCCAATAAGTAAATACAACATAGAATTAACTAGCCATCAATATGGAGACGCTCTTGATGTAGAACACACGACAGACATGTTTATGTCAAAATGGTACAGTTGCAAACTCAAACGCGGGTCCGGTCGAGTAAAATAACTTGCTACGAAGAAACGACCATAACTTTCAAACCGTACGTTAGAATTGGACGAATTATATAGAAAATCGACTATCTCGACGAGACGGAGCCAACCAAACCCACCCTTAAAGGTTCGGTTTGCTTCCTCTGTTTCGCCAAATTTCTTACGGTTTGAAAATATCTGTATTTTTATCCATTTTTTACTATTTTTAGTAATGTTTTAAGAGTCTGCATTGATTCAGAAACAAATCCGATTTAATCTCAGATTTAACCAGTGGACTTTCCTAGTCATAAGAAGTCTTTTTAGAAGTTTTAATGTTGTATGAATTTTTTTACTATTTTTTTAAAGTTTGAGTCATTGTAGAAGTCTTGTTTTTTTTTTCTATTTAAGTACACTAGTAGAAATTCAACTATCCTAGACGGAATATCCTAGACGGAAAAAATTCCGTCTAGGATACTATATCCTAGACCGAAACATTCCGTCTCTGGTATTCCGTCTAGGATATATTATTCTAGACGGAAATTTCCGTCTAGAATAGTATTCTAGACGGAATTAGGTATTCATTTATTTTTTTTAAATAGTCTGTTCATCCTAGACGGAAATTTCCGTCTAGGATGAATTTTATTTCCGTCTAGGAGAGTCTCTCACTTTATATTCATCAGAACCCTAAAATCCGTATCCTCCAAATCAAAAATTCTTCTTCTTCTTCTTCTTCGTTCGTGCCGTCCTCGACGCCGTCTGCAGCCGATCGTTTACACCTCGTCGTCCTCTCCCACTCCCGCCGCCTCCTCAGTCCTCATTCGACCCTCGTTTACACATCGTCGTCGTCTTCCTCTCACACTCCCGCCGCCTCCTCAGTCCTCTCCCACCACGTCAAGCTCTTCCTCTTCCTACTCCCGCCGTTTGCCACCTCCGCTCATGGAGCCCTTGCCGGCGATTGCCCTAATTGAGGTAAGCGATCCTTGATCTTGATTTGATTCTATGCGATTTCTTTAGGGTCTGCCTGATTTCTAGGTTTCGTTGATTTTGGTATCTTTTGTTCTTATTTTGGATTTCTTTAGGGTCTGCCTGTATTTCTTTAGGATCTTGATTTGATTCTGTGCTTATTGGGGATTTTGGTATCTTTTGTGCTTAGTGAGGGGATGGCTGACTCAGGCTGAGGGGTACTGTGTCTGTGCAATTTGCTTGGAGAGGATCTTGATTCACGAGGCTGCCGGTGTGAAAGCTTGCGAGCACGCTTACTGGTTTGTTTTACGACTTCATTTATTTTGCATTATTTTGCGAGCATGCTTACTCGATTGTGCTATACATAGTGATATATGGGATGATTTAATGTTTCCAGAATAGGCTAAATTGTTGTTAAATCCAGGTCCCATGCTATATATTGCCGATTTGTCATAAAATGGAGCTGCTTTATCTATTTGTTCATTAATTAGTAAGTTCGATCAAAATTGTCAGTTAGTGTAGCCAGATATATTATGGACAATTGAATTTATGAAGCTATTAGTGCGCCAGATATATTAAAGGTCTCTTGAGTTCGACATTGGCAAATTAAGAGGTTTGTAGGTTTATAAATTAAGTTTTGGGTTCCGTCCCCTAAACAACTAGCTTCGGGATGAATTCCCCTGCCCCTTACATAAAAAAATGTGCTCTACTTAAAATTATGACTAATACTATAACTAGAGACTGATATACTATAATAAAAGGTAATCTGTCCTTTGATATTTAGTTGTCCTTTTGGTTGCTTGTGTTTTGTTTCTTTTTTCGTTTATGTCAATCTCTTTTCCCCCTACCTTTTTCCTTATTTATTTCCACAATTTTGTTAGCTTCGTAACTTTTTGTTCTGTGCGTTAAACATGCAGCCTTAGTTTTCCCTTTCCTTCATTTGTAAGTATTTGTTTTTCAATCTACTATTAAAAAAGTTTTAGTTTTGATGCCACTATTTGTTTCTGGATCTGTAAGAAATAATACATAAGGGAAAAGAAAGATTTACGGATAAAAATGACATGCATGTTTGTATGTATACGCGTAGAGATTACCACCATTGTTGGTTTATCATTTGGAAATATTTAGCTAGAAAAAGCTTGGACATTTATTTTTGTTTACTTGGAGTTTCTACCATGACGAGGCCGATGAACTTAGAGCCCCTAATTGGCAACTTCTATAGCAGTGAATTAAGTTTGAATTTATATATGATACCTCCTCCTCATTGGCAACTTCTATTTCTGTTATCTTGTTTAGCTAGTTAAGCCCACAAGGCTCTCATGTTTATCATACAGTTTGTGATTTGATTAATTGTACAAATATGATTATATAGGCTTGTGATTTGAAAATGTGAGTTTGGAAGAAAAGGTTTTAAAAAAATAGAGTGATATATAACGCAATATTATATAATAATGTGTTATATATCCAATTTAGGTAAAAAATATAACGTTAACCCTAGACTCCCGTCCAATAATTACAGCCAATTCTTTGAGGTTATAATATTAGATGAACGAGTCAAATTTGGGTAAGAGGTAAATTTTCCTACTCGAAATTGATCGTTCATCTTTATATTATAATAGAAATGAATTGGTATAAAAATTTGTAATTATTGGATCTGTCCTTCTCGGACGGGTTAGGAATATAATAGTGCATACATCCAACTTTGTATACTTTGTATGATTTCATTTCTTAAAAATTTTGGCAGCCCATACCTGTTGTTCTCCGTGTACAATAAGCGTATGTTGTTTTGCGTTTTAGACGCTGACATATCCCTACTTAGGCTTTGGGATAAAAGTCCCCAGATTGGAATTCTGGTGTCTTCTTCAATCGGTGAAAGACTAAACCGGCAACGCATGTTAGGCGTAGGCTTATCTCTATTTAGGAGTCGAGATAAAGTTCCCCACGTGTGTATGACGTGGATTTTCGCGTTATTAATAACGGCCTGCCATAATGTCGAATATGTGGGCTTTTGTCCTTTTCACGGCAAAAGACTAACCGGCAACGCGTGTTAGGCGTTGACTTATCCCTGCTTAGGATTCGGGATAAAATTCCCCATGCATAAAAGGCATGGATTTTTGTTGCTACGATGCTGAATACGTAGACTCGGTCATTTTTACGGGAACGAACCACCCAGCAACGCGGGTTAAGCGTTGACTTATCCCTACTTAGGCTTCGGGATAAAATGCCCCAGACTGGATTCTGGTGTCTTTTTCAATCGGTGAAAGACTAAACCGGCAACGCGTGTTAGGCGTAGGCTTATCTCTATTTAGGAGTTGAGATAAAATTCCCCGTGCACAAAGTGCACGGATTGGAAGTTGGGAATTGTGTCTTTTCTCAGGGTAAAGACAGACTGGAAAATGGAAGAGGATGAATTTTATATTCTATCTCCCGGCACTGAAGAGGAAGAATTTTATATTCTATCTCCAGTTGGAAAGGAAACTCAAGGTGGGATCTCCACCCTCAGAATCCGAAATGATGAAACTAAGAGTGGGATCTCCACTCCGAGAATCGGAAAGATTCAAACGACCCTAACTTTTATAGGATTGGTCATTCGATCCAAAAAGAGTCCCTCATTTATTGAGGAGAAAGCCCAATTTCGACCCTAACTTTTATAGGTTTGGTGGAAAAAGGAAAAGATGGAAGTCTTTCGTTTATCGAAAAGGATAACTCAATCTTAGTCCTAACTATCTGCAGGTTTGACTAAGTAAAGTTGGAGACAATCCTAACTTTTATAGGTTTGATTGCTCAATTGAAAGTGGACCTCTCGTTCATGGAAGGAATCGAGAGGGGACTTTGGTTGTGGTCCTAACTATAGGAAGGTTTGACCAGGTAGACAGTGAGAGTGGGAGTACAAATCATAGTGGGGGTTTAATGTTTATCACCTTGTTCGTAATTATCGGGTTATCCCTAAGAAAATTACATATAGTGTTCTTCCGGGAACTTCCCATTACATGACTCATCCACCCCCAGCTTCTTTCTTGGAACTGGGTCTGACTTTGTACTCCGTTACATGTTTGGGTTAGCTTTTTTTTTGGAACTGGGTCTGACTTTGTACTCTGTTACATGTCCGGGTTATCCTTAAGAATATTAGCATAACATTCTCTAGGAACTTCCCATCAACGGTAGGAAACAGTTTATACTCATATACTTATTGGAGTATCAGGGAGCAGTTTAACCTCATATACCGATTGGAGGATTAAGAAGCAGTTTATACTCGTATACTTGTCGGAGTGTTGAGAAGTAGTTTATACTCGTGTACTCTTCGGAGTGGTGCCATTCTCATTTGGCTTATCCCAGCGTTATGACGCCGGCTTCAACCAAGGTTTGGATGCTATTCTTTAAAGTAAAGCAACCCTTGGTGGGATGAAGGATCCTCCTGTGGTACGCTTCGTCTTTGAATGAGTACTCTTTTTGGAGCCTCGGATCCGAACTATTCTGCTGTCTTCGGAGCTGTTGTTGTGACGTTTGATTAACGTCAACAACTGTTGTAGGTGCCTTCCCTTCATCATGGGACACGAGACTCGAATTCAGAGGGTTGACCATCGGTTGGTTTCTTTCGACCTTCCTCCTTCTGAGGAAGCGTTCGGCATGTTCTCCGCGCACCTTCAACTCTTTCCAGGTATTGAGCGGCTCTACTCCCATAACGTCCAAGATGTTAATGGACAAGTTATTATGACAGGTCTGCAAGACGAATTCCTCCGTTACGGGATCCTTGCAGTTCATTGCCTGATTGCGGAAGTGTTTGATGAAGGTATCCACCGACTCTCCGTCTTTTTGTTTCTCATCGAAGAGTGTCCTGATCGACACTTCGGCGTCATCATCGAAGAAATGAGTGAGGAACATGCTTTCCAGGTCCTCCCAGCTGTTGATGCTTTCGGGCTTGAGGCGGCGGTACCAATCGAAGGCGGGCCCGCGAAGGGTGCCAACAAATGACCGGACCATCAGAGGCTCGTTGCCAGAGATCATACCTAAATGGGACTTGAAGTAGATCAGGTGCTGAGAGGACGAGCCCTTCCCGTCGAATGGCGTGAAGTTGATCAGGTTGAACTTCGCCGGATACGGGATCGAATCCCACTCTTTTGGGTAAGGACACGGAATGTCGGTCTTCTTTACCTCTTGAGCAGACATTAAAGCGTTAATTTTGCTCTCGAGGTCCTTCATCTTTTCATCCTCATCTATATCCTGTTTTGGACAATTCTTGAGAGGAATAACGGGGCCACCCCCAGCATTATCATCTTTGGTGGGACCAACCCCAGTATTATTGTCCTTAGTGGGACCACCCCCAGCGTTGTGTTCATCCCGCTGTCAACTGCGGCGTTCTGGGTGCGACGGCTGGATTCAACTAGCTGATTTGACAAAGCTCGGATTTGTTGGTCGTGCATTTGTCTCATCTCCTGCATAGCCATTTCCATTTTGATTTTGAATGCTTCTTTCTGCTTGGCTAGAGCATCCTCAATGATTTTGGCTATTTGCTCGGTGTTGACCATGAACACTTCCCGAGCTTTTCCTATGCTAGACGTTGTATCGTCAGAGGCGATTGCGGAATAAGAATCCGAGAGTTTGTCATCAGAATGTATTCCTTCATGGACACCCTGGTAATCATTATGTCCAACGGTTTCTAGCTGAAGCTGAGATATTTGTTGGGTTATTCCCGAACCGACTCTTCTTCCTGGAGAGAAATTAGGGTTAGAACCACTTGAAACAATCGGAGATTTTCCCTTATTGACCATGTTGATGGTAACTTCTGGGAATTCATCATCTCGAGCAACCGATCCTCTTTGGTGGAAACGCCTTGATTTGGGCTTCGTCGTTCCGTCGGATATTCTCTCGAATACCGAGACCCTCCGCGGAGCGGTCTTAGGATAGCTACACGCTGATGATACTGCCCTGATAATTTTGATACACGGACAGTAAGAGTCCGTTTCCCGGGTACTTCTCTTTCGAGATTTATTCGTACCCCCAGCCTGATAGTACAACTCATCGATGTTGCGGTCGGAGTAACCTATCGGCTGCTTACATGGATTCTCAGGTATAACGCGTTCGTCTGTCTGAAGCGTTTTCCTCTGAGTAAACATTGCCTTGTTCAATAATTACAGCCAATTCTTTGAGGTTATAATATTAGATGAACGAGTCAAATTTGGGTAAGAGGTAAATTTTCCTACTCGAAATTGATCGTTCACTTTATATTATAATAGAAATGAATTGGTATAAAAATTTGTAATTATTGGATCTGTCCTTCTCGGACGGGTTAGGAATATAATAGTGCATACATCCAACTTTGTATACTTTGTATGATTTTATTTCTTAAAAATTTTGGTAGCCCATACCTGTTGTTCTCCGTGTACAATAAGCGTATGTTGTTTTGCGTTTTGATATGTTGTCAGTGCGCATAATAACATCCGCACAGTGTACAGGGAGAACAGCGGGTAAGTGCTGCCGAAATTTTTAAGA